AGTCACTACTTAAGAACTAGTTCACACACGTTTTCTCCTGCTAATTCAAATTTAGAAAAGGCAAAGACAAAAAGACTCTTACCCCTCTGGCTTAGTCCAGACTCTGCAGACAGAGACCTGGGAGACTGATGTGGTAAGAAATCTTACCTGTGGCTGGCATTTTGTCAGGTCCCAGCATCCTGTAGCTGCAGCAGTCCTGGAGTAAGCTGGTCCCAGTCAGTGAGTGAGGCTCCATTTTAGTCACCAACTGTAGGGAAGCAAAAAATGGCTTCCCTCCACATTTCTAGGTTCCTTGGGTAGGCTGCGAATTAGGACATAAGACAGATTAACAGAAAAACCATATTTAATTACATACATACACACATATGCGAATCCCACAAAATATGAGACTTGAAGAAGGGTCAGATGATTGAAGCTTTATTAGCAATCTGAGCTACAGACAGGAATAGGGGCTTGGGACTTCTGGTGGGTAGTAGTGACATTAAGTTAAGGGAGAGTAAGGGAAGGAGATATATGGTGAATAAAGGTTGTTTTGTTATGCAGATGAAAAGTCTCTCAGGTAATAAAAGTTGTCTTGGAGCAACCATAAAAGAATAGAGAATAGCCTGATGGGCATGATGGGCATGGGCATGATGTCAACCTCCAATCTCCTCCCCTGGATCTGAGTTAATCTTCCCTGGTTGCTAAAATTCCAGTGGAAGGAATTTATGACAATTGAGTTCCTTTTGGAGCATCTACCTTTAAGCAGATGATAGAAGTTCAGAGAAATCCTATGCCTGCATCTGTTATTCCCCAAATACCCTCAATTTAAGGTAATCAGCATCCCAAAGTATCATATTTGGGGTTGGCATTTCCTGAACTCAGTTTAGCATAGTGACCAGGCGGCAGGAAGTGAGCACTCAGAGAAGGTTGGGTATTATTATCATGCAAAGTTATTCATTCAACAATCAGTCCCCCCCACCTACCTAACAGGTGTCAGGTCCTGTACTGGAGTAAACAAAGATGAATAAGACATTTTCCCTGGCCTCAAGGAGCTCTCAGTTTAGTAAGAAAGAGGTGTGGATAAAGATAACCATAGTACAGTACTATTATAGGGAGATGAATAAAATGCTGTACTAGCTAAGAGAAGGGCCCCTCACCTACAAGGGAAAGAGCAGGAAATGCTTCCTAGAGGAAGTAATCTTTGAGCTAAGTCATGAGTAATGAATAGAAATTCACCAGGCGCAGAGAGGGGAGAGAAGAACATTCCAGACAGAAGGCACAACCCATGTAAATGCCTGAAGGCCTTATAGCTTTGGAGAACAAGGAGAGTTCACTGAAGGTGCAGCTTAGGATCCATGAAGGAAAAGAATGTCAGAAAAAATCTTGTAAGTCATCTTATGGAGTTAGACCTTTAACAGAATGCCCCTCAGGGCCAAAGTATTCCCTCCATTCTTCTAACACCTTGAACACACCTTCATTATAATACTTATCAAATCACTATTTGATTATTTGTTTACTTGTCTCTTCCATTGAACTGTGGGCCCCATAAGGGCTCAAACCCCTCATATTGCTCTTTGAATTCTCAGTGCCAGGCATTCAGGTAGCACACAACAAATGTGGAAAGAGGAAAGGAGATGTCTCCAAGGTCCACACAGCTATTAAGTAGCAAAGGCAGGACTCAAATCCAGGTCTGAGAGTATCTTTGAGTGTTGTATCACATTCCTCAGAATTGGATATAGAATTAGGAATTGAAATATTTCATTTAATGCAATCTTCATTGTATTGGAGTTTTTTCCTTCATGAACGTCTTGCTACTATACTAGTCAGGGAGCTTCAAGTCTCAAGAATACTTTGTGACGATGGTTTGAACACTAATGATTGAGTAATAAATAAACAATTTTGGCAAGTTACAACCTACTCTTGGCTTTATACTGCACACAGTTTGATCTCATCTAGTGCTATTGCTGGCAGTATAGGTACAAATATCAGTAGAATATTACCCACTTAAGAAAAAATAGCAGTGGACCCTCTAAAGCAAGTTAAAGCACATCAATTCAGACAGGCAGGAAAAGGTCTACTTTATTACAGTTCTTTCATGAATCATGCAGTTTGTTATCCAAGATAAAAAAAAAATCTGTGTTAAGATCCAAATATGACAAATGGACATCCATCATCTCTATCAGAGAGTCACACTAGGAATTACTTGAAAGTTCATCTCATTTCTATAGTCATCTATAGATTACTTAAAATGCTTTCTACTATTCCCCTGGACTCTCTCCATTCCAACTCACTCTATATATTGTTGCCCAGTTAATTTTAGTTGTGTGACCTCGAACAAGTGACTTAACTTCTCAGAGCCTCAGTTTATTCATCTGAAAAATGGGAGAGCTGTGTTAGATTAGTGCTTTTTATACTGTATTACTTAGAGCCCTCAAGTCCCTCAGAGGTGCCTGGGGTACAACTTAGCAGGTTGGGGAAAAAGTGGGCCAGTGGCTGAGTTGGCAGGCTTCTTTATATTCTCTGCAAGCACATCAGTCCTTTTAAAAACTATGGGCTGCTCTAAAATTTGGTTTGGAAAAAGAGTTATGCTACTATAAAAAGTTTAAGTACCATTATACTTCCATGATTTCTAAGGGCCCTTCTGGTTCCCCTAAACTAGGATTTTTTAAAATCTTCTGTACACAACAGGAATTTAATGTGATAAAGTATTTATACACAGAAGCACAACAAATGACTCATTTTTATTATTCCTTTTAACCACTTTTTAATCTTGGTATTATTTCAAAATAAGATGAAATGCAATGCTTAAAATTACAATTCTAATATATAACAGGGATTCTGAAAGTAATTGGCATCTCCCATAAAGATTGCCATTTTGAAAACCATAGAAAATGGTTTACAAACTTCAGGACCAAATTCAGATTCTGCATATTTCTTTCCCTTCTTAGGCAACAGTAAAGACATGTCTTAATGAAAGCAAATACAGAGAAACAAATTATCTTTAGTGTCACAAATACTGAGTTTCCAAGTGTCCTCCACAGATACTATCTTTGTCTTCTTTGTATTCTTGGCCAGGGCTGACCCCAAAAGTTCAGTACACCAACAGTTGCTAGAGGTGCCAGACACACCAAGTAATTTGCCAGAGCCTCACGCCTCCTCAGCTTGTAAAGCAGAGGTTGTAGAGGAGGTTTATTAGAATCACTTGGGAAGCTTTTTCAACCTACACTTATGCCCCAGTCTCCTCTCCCTTTGTAAAGCACTGTTCTAGCTTGGGATTTTATTCCGTCTCACATAAAAGGTCTTCTCCATCTTTCTAAATCCTGCCCAACTGAAGGTTGGTGGAGTAGAAGCAATTGAACTCAGTGGCTTTGTCACAAACTGGTTGGGCAAGTCACAGCCTTTTTCTGGTCTCAGTTTTTTCCTCTGATTTTTGAGGTTCCTTTCAAGCTTTGAAATTCTATGACTGCATATCATGTCTAAGAATCCTTCTGAACTACTCCTAGCATGGAATGACTTGTCATTTCTTGGTTTTCCAACAGCCGGTGCAATACAACATATCACCTAATTATATGCTGTCCTATATTGCCCTCTAGTTGTTTTGATATGAAAAATTTTTCTTAATTATATGTAGTTTAAAATATATTTAGTTTAAAAGTTTATTTTCATGGGCAGGCAAGGTGCCTCCTACTTAACCTAAATCTCCTAGGACAACTCAGGGTGTGTCCTGAGGTAATCGGTATGTATTTATATTGATTTGCTGAAAGCAATGATGCCCCTTCTTTCAAAGCCTTGAAATTCTATTTTACATTAGTGCTGTCCAGTAGAAATATAACGTGAGCCACAAATGTAATTTAAAATTTTCTAGTAGGCACATATAAAACATGAAAAGAAACAAGTTAATTCTAGTAATATATTTAAACGAATATATTCAAAATATTGTCATTTCAACATGTAGTCAATGTAAAAAGTATTGAGATATATTACATTCTTTTTAAAATTTATTTTTACTTTTTAATTAATTAATTTATTTATTTTTGTGTGTGTGACAGAGTCTCGCTTTGTTGCCCAGGCTAGAGTGAGTGCCATGGCGTCAGCCTAGCTCACAGCAACCTCAAACTCCTGGGCTCAAGCGATCCTCCTGCCTCAGCCTCCTGAGTAGCTGGGACTACAGGCATGCACCACCATGCCTGGCTAATTTTTTCTATATATATTAGTTGCCCAATTAATTTCTTTCTATTTATAGTAGAGACGGGGTCTCACTCTTGCTCAGGCTGGTTTTGAACTCCTGACCTCAAGCAATCCGCCCCCCTCTGCCTCCCAGAGTGCTAGGATTACAGGCGTGAGCCACCGGCGCCCGGCCTTACTTTTTTAATTTTATAAATTTTAAAAATAAATTTTCAGGCCCTTCAGTGTGAATACATTCTTTTTTGAATGTCTTCAAAATCGGGGGTGCATTTTACACTTACAGCACATCTCAATTCAAAATAGCCACTTTCAAGTGCTCAGTAGCCACACTGGCTAGTGGCTACTTACTGAACAGAGCAGTTCTGCATCATTGGGCTGCTTTCCAACTGACCACTTTATTTTTCCGTTCAGATAATGACTGACGCTGAGCACTTAATAAGTACTCAGGCTCTCCAGAGAGGTGTAAAGATGAATCAGATAAGGGAGATTTGTAAATCATTATAGAGATGCACAGAAGAAACGCTGACTTGGTGGCCGAGGGCCCCTAGGTGGGGAGGGGGGAAGTTAAGGAAGGCTGCACAAAGGAAGTAACGTTTGATTTGGGAACTAGGTAGCACGAAAGGAGGTCGGCTGTAGGATGACTGGCGTAGCAGGTTACCAGATTATCAGGACTAAGGAGAGGGGTTCTACAGGGCGCCAGCCCAAAGGACATAGGTGAGTGTGGGGAGGAGGGGCGACGTGCAGGGGAAGCGGTTGGCGGGGATTGGCTGGGAGGAACCTGGAGTTCCTCTGGTGGGTGGACGGAAGCCGGAGGGGGGCGCTACTTGCACGTCGCACTCAAGCGACCAGACCTGCGAAGGGCGAGAGCGGCGCGGCACCTGGAGTCTCCGGCTGCCCAGACTCCACCTAGGGAGCGACTGGCGAGGTAAGGCGCGCGCCCGACTGGCTCCCGAAACGCGCTGGCTCGCGCTCGCGCTCGCGCTCCGAATTCAGTCTCAGCACACCCGGGCCTCAGAGCCCACAACATTTCCCAGCCCAGTGTCGGCCACTAGGAACACATCGTGCTACAGCGCCTAGGGTTTTGCTTGTTTGTTTGTTCTTAACAGATGCGTTCGCCTTGTAACGGGCTGCGAGGTGAAATGAGTCTATGGAAACGGTTGCCAGGACCGGCAAACGGCCGTTCCCGGAAGTCCTTGCACGCTTTGGTAACAATGAAACGACTGGACCAATGCGGCGCCCTTTCCGGTTTTGTTCAGGCTCTGGGAGTTCTTTTTTAGCAAAGTTGCCTTTGACCCCGGAAGTGAGGTTTTCTGGGTTCCTCCCTCCTGCAAGATGGCAACTGCTGAAGAAGAGTTACTGGTGCCGCGACTGCCCGAGCTTTTCGAAACAGGCAAACAGCTCCTGGATGAAGTGGAAGTAGCGACTGAACCCACCGGCTCCCGGATAGTCCAGGACAAGGTGTTCAAGGGAATGAACCTCCTCGAGAAGGCTGCCGAAATGTTGTCGCAGCTCGATTTGTTCAGGTATGGGGAAGAGGGTGATAACGGCTGAGAACGAAGGTAATAATGGTTACCAAGGGTGGAGCCATTTCGCCTGGATGGAGGGGACCTTTAAGACTAAGAACCTTTTGTTCCTGCTTCCCACTGCGATCTTGTGTGCATTCCCCACCTCTCTTCCGAGATGATTGATAGCCCACGACTCTGCTCCCTGGTGTCGGCCCCCTGCATAGTCATTGGGTGTGAGTGCTCAGCTGCTTTCATTGAGTGGCACTGGCTGCTGTTCCCTGCACCTTCTCCCTTTGCCCCATTCCCAGCCCAGCCTTCCCCTCCTCCAGGAAGCAAGGGCCGCGGTTTAAATGCCCAGCCAGGCTTTACAGCCTCCTCTTTGCTCCTTTCAGCCAAAATGAAGATTTGGAAGAGATTGCTTCCACCGACCTGAAGTACCTGCTGGTGCCAGCGTTTCAAGGAGCCCTCACCATGAAACAAGTCAACCCCAGCAAGCGTCTAGATCATTTGCAGCTGGCTCGAAAACACTTTATAAACTACTTAACTCAGTGCCATCACTATCATGTGGCACAGTTTGAGCTGCCCCAAACCAAGAACAACTCAGCTGAAAATAACACTGCTAGTTCCTCCATGGCCTATCCTAGCCTCGTTGCTATGGCATCTCAAAGAAAAGCTAAAATAGAGAGGTGGGTCCATAACTGTAATCTGAGGGCTGCCCCATGGCAGTGCTGTTGGGAGGTGTGCATGATACTTTGGTGGGGGTAGGGGGAACAGAATGGCGTGTGTCACTCTCTTGGTTCTTATTGATCATAGGCCCTGGTGAGAGCAAACTTTCTGGAGTTTTTCAGAAATCCTCTGCCTTTGTTAAGGTGATCGCACCTACCCATCAGAACCCCTGCTATCTTGGGGTTGCCAACAGCAGCAGTGTAGTTTACCAAAGTGTCTCCCAACCTTTTCCACATCGCAGCATAGCAGTGTTCATATGGTACATTGGGGTAAATATTTCTAAAGGACACAGTATCTCAGAGCTGTAGTCCATTTTTGGGCCATTGCTTTAGAAGCTCTGTTCAGAGTACTGGATCAGATGTGTAACATCCTGATCTTAGTCCTGGCATAGCTTCATGGTGTGACCTTGAAAAAATTGCTTACTGTCTTCGTTTTTTAAAAAATTTAATGGATGTTTATGGTATCTAGGAACTATACTAGGTAATAATACTCACTGTAGGAAGTTTTCAAAACAGAAGACTTTTAAAAATTAAAAATAAGCCTTAGGCCAGGCACAGTGGCTCATGCCTGTAATCCTAGCACTTTGGGAGGCCAAGGCAGGAGGATTGCTTTATGCTAGGTGTTTGAGACCAGCCTGAAAAAGAGTGAGACCTCATCTCCTCATCTCTAAAAAAAGAAAGAAAGAAAGAAAGAAAGAAAACATTAGCAAGGTGTGGTAGTGCACACCTGAAGTCCCAGCTACTTGGGAGGCTGAGGGAGGAGGATTGCTTGAGCCCAGGAGTTTGAGGTTGCAGTGAACTATAATAATGCCACTGTACTCTAGTCCAGGAGACAGAGACCTTGTCTTAAAAAAAATAAAATAGGCCTTAATGCTGGTACTCATAGGTGATCATTGTTAACTTTCTGATGTATCTTCTCTCAGATAGATATATCGTTATTAAGCTAATAAATTTGGAATAATATTGTAAATGTAGCTTTTTATTCTGGGTTTTGAAACTAACATTATTCTGTGAGCATTCCCCATGTATTTTGAAACCATGATATTTAATCATCATGTTAATATTCCATCCTGTAGTTGTATCATAATTATTTAAACTAATCTGTTATTGTCAGATATTCAGACTTTAAGGTTTTTTTGCTATTCTGAGTAATGTTATAAACAAACACCTTTAACTGCATCTGTTGCTGTTTACTTAGGATAGATTTCTAGAAGGACCAGTGACTGGGTTAAAGGGTTTGAATATTTTAAGGCTTTTGATACATAGTAACAATATTGCTTTCCACAATAACAAAGTTTCAGAGTATGTCTCACTGCATTTGTCCTGAATGTTAACACTTAGAAAATCCAATTGGGCAAGCAAAACAGTTATCTCATTATTTTGATTGGCATTTCTTTGGCCTGCAAGCTTGATTTTTGAACATTTTCCTTAAATGTCTGACAGATGAGACATCAGTGCTATCTTTATATTAACGGCTACCACATTCATATCACTACCCCAGACCTTCCTGACTTCAGACTCATACTTCCACCATACTTCATGGGCATTTCACAGACATGTAATAAATTCAGCCCTTGGCTTTTTTTTTTTTTTTTTTGAGACAGAGTCTTACTTTGTTGCTCAGGCTAGAGTGAGTGCCATGGCGTCAGCCTAGCTCACAGCAACCTCAAACTCCTGGGCTCAAGAGATCCTCCTGCCTCAGCCTCCCGAGTAGCTGGGACTACAGGCATGCGCCACCATGCCCGGCTAATTTTTTCTATATATATTAGTTGGCCAATTAATTTCTTTCTATTTATAGTAGAGACGGGGTCTCGCTCTTGCTCAGGCTGGTTTCGAACACCTGACCTTGAGCAATCCGCCTGCCTGGGCCTCCCAGAGTGCTAGGATTACAGGCGTGAGCCGCTGCTGCGCCTGGCAGCCCTTGGCTTTTTAACACATTAACTGCCATGTGAGTTGTAGTTAACTAACGCTAGTTTTGAGCCTGGGGCCTCGTGAAGCAAAACCTGGGCAAATTTGCAGTTGGTTCGCAAAAATCTTACTTCTTCTTGTTCTTACTCTTAATATCAAAAATTTAATTCTGAAAACATGAATTAAATGAATAGAAGGCAATAACAAAATTTTCATTAAATTAGAAAGGATCATTTTGTTTTCAAAGTTTTTATTCTATTTTTATAATAAAACCCCATGGCCCCCAGGAAAAATTTTTTTTCTAATGTGGCAGTCAATGTGTTGAATTCCAAACGAGCCACCCATGCCGAAGTCATTACCATCCCAGTAAGTGCACCATCATTTGCCCAGGTTTTTAAGCCAGAAACCAAGGAGTTAGCTTCTATTCCTCCCTTATTCTGAATGTCCACATTCAGACCATCAGCAAGGCTTGTCAGTTCTAGCTACAAAAGATTGCCTCTATCCATTTACTTCTCTCCATCTCCACAGTGATACCTCAGTCTAGGCCACCTGAGATAGCCAAACCACTAATTCCAGGGTCCTGCATGATCTGGTGCCTGCCTCTTTCCAATCTCACTATGTGTCATTCCTCCCTTGTTCACTTTACTCCAGTCACAGTGGCCTTCTTTCAGTTCTTTGAACAGACCCAACTCTTTCCCTCTATACGATCTTTGTATGTGCTGTTCTCTTTACGTAGAATGCTCTTCATATGGTTAATTCTTTATCCTTTAGGTCTCATCTTAAATGTCATTCCTTGGAGAGGCTTTTCCAGACCAGTCTCTTAAATAATTAACATCTGTCATTCCTTTTGCCCCATTTTTGTTTCCTCCTCGGCACTTATCTTAGGTGCAGTTATTCATGTGTCTGAGTTTTGTCTCTTTCTTCTATTAGAATGTATACTCCACAGAGGCAGGAGCCATTTCTCTCGTTCACTGTGGTATGCTTAGCATAGGGGCTGGCATATAGAGAAAGTATTCAAGCAACGTTCTTGACAAGCAAGAGAAACAACTCAAACATAGGGTAGATTTAGGTATGTACAAAGGAGATAATAGAGAGTCTAGTTTGGCAGAAGCTAAGAGTATTATGTTCAGAGGTCTGCATAAGGAAGTGATGTGTATAGAATGAAAGGAAAAAGGCAGAAAGACAAGATAATATGTTATGATGGTACTTCAAGTAGGAAGAAGTGATAAAAATTAAGTTACAGCTATCAGGGATACTACTTTTGCAAGAAGCATTTACATGATTAGAAAACAAATTACTCAGGTCCTTATTTACATTGTGGAAGTGCCCTCCACCCCCACCCATGACTTTAGATGTTAAGGCTATCCTAAAAAACCTAAATGGTATGTATGTCTTCTCTCTCCCAAAACCCATTTCTTCACATATATTCTGTAATTACCATCTTTCAGGAGTGAGTGTGAGTCTGGTTGATTAACACCTCTCCATTCTTTTGACAGAAATAGAGAAGTGGAAACTGGGTAAGTAAGGAGTCTAGTTTTAGATGATTTACTGAATTTAGGTCCTAAAGTGATAACTGGATAGCCATTTCCATAGACAGGTGGAAATGTGCAACTAACACATGTGACTGTTTTGTGGGTGATGTGAAAAATTTAGGAGCCTTCTGCTTTGGTGGGTGTGGATGAGTTTGCCAAGGAAGAAAAGCCAAGGATAAAACCTTGGAGCAAGTTACAGGAGAATGAAGAAGAAGGAAAGAACAATCAGAGGTAGGGGACTCAACAAGGTGCAGATAGAAGTATTTATAGAAGCCCAGAGAAGAGAGAGCAAATGTTATGTCCTCTTTGAAGCTTCTCGCTACCTATCCTGCCTCCCAGATACTGTAGCACTTAGTTAATGTTACTTGTCACAGCATAACTGTCAGTTTCTAGACTTGCAACTCCTTAAAGTCTGAGACCTTGACTAATTGTATCTTTGTATCCTGATTATATCATTGTATCCTTTGGTGCCTAACCCAGTAACCAGATCATAGTAGGTACTTAGAGGAGTCTTTGGGAGGGACAGATAGAGTAGTCAGCGAAAAGATGGAAGCAATCTGTTGTAGCAGAGAAAGCCTGGACTTTGCAGTCAGACAGACTAATCCAATTTCTACCACCTAATAGATGGGGCATCATTTAGCCCCTTCTGGCCTCAACTTCCTCATCAGCTAGCATTTATATTGCTTCTTACAAAGCATGTTCATATGTATTTTTCTATTTCATCCTCTTGACTCCATGAAGTAGACATTTTTATCCCCATTTTAGAGATAAGGAAATGAGCTGGAGAATTGACTTGCCCAAAGTTACATAGCTAGCAAGTGGCCAGGCCAGGCTTTAAACTCAAATCTTCAAATTCCCAGTTCTAGTGCTGTTCCTATTACAGCACAGAAAAGAGTGGTCATTTGAAAGTTTAGAGAAATAGTTGAGGTAAACTGTTTCTAATATAGAGCAAAGGCACCAGTAGAATGAAAAATTGTAGCTACTAATGTCAGAGAGGATGATCACTAGTGAGGGCTAGAAGAATGTGGCTGGGGACTACTAGATTAATAGCAAAAGTGGAATGGTAAAAACATTGCCATGGAAATGCCTTGGTAGAGACAGAATTAGCTCTGTCCCCATAAGGGACAAGAGTAAAGGAGGAAAGGTGAAGCTATGGAGATTTTAAGGTGAAGAGATAAATTGAATTCTATGCTGGCTGGCCATCTGATGAGCATAATGGTGGTATGGGGCCTCCACAAAAGATGAATATAAGGATGGCTGAGCAAGAGTGACCACTCAGCCAAAGTTTGATAACAGGGATTTGGAGTTGATCCATTTGACACAAATTTGTAATTCCTTAACTCCCTTCAGCAGCCTGGGAATAGAAAAAGGAAATGGTGAAAGTTGCAGAGTCAGAAGGGTCACAGGAGTAGGGGGATTTAGGGTAATAGGAAGTGTTTTCATGTAATGTAGAACAGTGATAAGGGTCTAGGATAATGTTTTTCAGTCTGTTTCTTAGAGCCCCAAGATTCCACTGCAGTGCCTGGATAGATGTTGGGAGCCCTCCTTTGATTTAACCAAAGAAGATTTTATCTGTTTATGGGAATTACATAAAAGCTCTCATTAGAAGAAAGTGTTCTTTTGCTAAGACAAAAAGGGTTTTAAAGCACTGGTATAAAAGAACAGGTGTTGAAAAGCTAGAGGTCTAAAAGATAAAGAGCAAAATCATAAAAGCAAGGAAGTAGACAAGGAAGGAGCAGAGAGTGCCATTAGGCCATATGCATGCAGAGGATGGAAAAAGCAAAAGAATCTTTATGCAGAGGACCACTGTATAAACCCCACATTTACCCTGGATTATATACATTTTAAGGTCCTCTCATATTTTTTCCTTATGACTTAGGTACATCCAGGAAAGAGAATGGGGGTAAGAGTGAGACTGGGGTTAAACATTCTCAAGTAATACCTCAAGAGCATTCATGAACTCGGAGTTAACCTTTGTAGTGTTTTACTCAGGAGGCTACCTATGATGATGGTGCGACATTTTATGACTTGTTGGGTAAAATGAACAGAAGAGCCTAAAAATGTTCATAATAGTGTTTTCAGAGCAGTGATTCTTGGCTTTGTGTGTGTGGGGCGGGGGGTCATGAACCCCTTCCCCCCACCTTTTTTTTTTTTTTTTTGAGACAAGAGTCTCACTATGTTGCCCGGGCTAGAGTGCGCTGGCATCAGCCTAGTTCATAGCAACCTCAAACTCCTGGGCTCAAGCAATCCTCCTGCCTCAGCTTCCCAAGTAGCTGGGACTACAGGCATGCGTCACCAGACCCAGCTAATTTCTTTCTATTTTTGGTAGAGATGGGGTCTCGCTCAGGCTGGTTTTGAACTCCTGACCTTGAGTGATCCTCCCGCCTCGGCCTCCCAGAGTGCTAGGATTACGGCGTGAGCCACTGCACCCGGCCGACCCCTTCCCCTTTGATAACAACATCTCTCTTCAGCCAACAAAAGAAAAAGAAGAAAGGGGGGAAAGCATACACGTAGAGTTCTGTGTACAATTTGAAGTAGTTCAAGGACCACCCTCCCCCATGCTGAACTCTCTATGGACTTCCGGCTAAGACCCCTTGATTTAGGTGAAGACCTACAGAGAAGCATCTGATTTTAGAGGGTCTAGAGTGGGGTCTCGGGAGATATTTCAAGATAGTTGGAAATTTTGGCATTTTTCCTTGATCCCTCCCTTTCCCTCAAGCTCTTACATCCAATAAATCAACAAATCCTGTCATTATATATTTTAAATACAGCCTCGTCTCCCTACCTCCCTATTTCAGGTCACCATGTCTCACCTGCATTGTGGCAATATCCTCTTAATTGCTTCCCCTGCTTTCACCCTTGCCTTCCAGCCCACATTCCACACAATAGCCAGAGTGGCCCATATAAAGTCTTTTCATGTTTCTCTATTCTATCCATGTCATATGTTCTATTGAAAAGCCTCCAGTGGCTTTCCCATCTCAAAATACCATGGTATTTGATATTTTGGGTATCATGGCCTACAAGGTTCTACATGTTACGGCCCTGGCTGTCTGACCTCATTTCCTATCACTCTTCTTCATTCCATTTCAGCCATGCTGACCACTTTGTTATTTCTCAAACATGTCAAACCAGGCATTCTCCCATCCCCAGGGCCTTTGTATTTGCTCCTTGTCCTTAGAACACACTTCCAGATATCGACATAGCTTACTTACTTATTTTCTCAAAATCTTTGTTCAAACGTCTCTTCCTCAGAGAGGTCTCCTCTGACCACCCTGTATATAATAACACCTCTACTTTTGAACCATCACTCTATCTACTTGAGCTTGCTTTTTGCTGTTTCATAGCACTTATCACCACCTGACTCATCATCTATTTATTTTTGTCTTCTCCCACTAGAATGAAAGCTTCATGAGTGCAAGAACTTTCTTTTATACACTGCTGTGCCTCCACCACTGAGAATAGTGCCTGTCACACAGTGGGTACTCAGTAGTTATTTGTCAGATGAATGATAGATGACATACTAGAATGCATCCTGAAAAAGGCAGCTAGGGTGGTTATGTGTCCTTAGATTATATAAGGATGAATCAGAAGAGCTGGGAATGTTTTGCCCAGAAGAAAAGATGACTTTTAGGCTCCTTCATGAGGAATTCCTGCATCAATGGCAGGTAAACGACCCCTGAAGATTCTACAGTTCTTTGAAGTTGTAACTCCCAACTGGAAGCATTGTGGGATGCACCCACCATAATAAGAGTTAATGTAATCAAATGACCGAGGCACTCTGATCCCTAAAGATGATGGCAGGCCTTGACAAGATCAGATTACTTCTATATTTTAATGACTTCAGAATGTATTTCTCAGCCCCTGCTAGGCCCTTCCTTGCCTTGTAGCCTAAGGGAACTGCCTGGTGGAAAGCTCTGGGATATAGGCTGTATATTCCTGCCAAGTGGAAGTGGGCATACTTACTACTTGGTCATTTGCAGAGGCAAAATCTTATTGTGGCCTTTTTTAGATACAAACAGAAGAAGGAGGTGGAGCATAGGTTGGCTGCACTGAAATCTGCTGTGGAAAGTGGTCAAGCAGATGACGAGCGTGTTCGTGAATATTATCTCCTTAACCTTCGGAGGTGGATTGGTATCAGCTTAGAAGAGATTGAGAGCATTGACCAGGAGATGAAGATCCTGAGAGAGAAAGACTCTATAAGAGAGGTAAGCCTGTCACTGCCTACATAGCTCAAAAAGCTACTGTCAGAGATTTGAATATTCTACAGGACAGTAATACAGTTAAAATCTTTTTAAGTCTCCATAAAAATCATTTTTGTTTTTCTTTTTTTGTTTGTGTGTTTTTGAGAGAGTCTCACTCTGTTGCCCAGGCTAGAGTGCCATGGCGTCAGCCTAGCTCACAGCAACCTCAAACTCCTGGGCTCAAGCGATCCTTCTGCCTCAGCCTCCCGAGTAGCTGGAACTACAGGCGTGTATCACCACGTCTGACTAATTTTTTCTATTTTTAGTAGCGACAGGGTCTTGCCCTTGCTCAGGCTGGTCTTGAACTCCTGAGCTTAAGCTGTCCTCCCACCTCCCAGAGTGCTAGGATTACAGGTGTGAGCCACCACGCCTGGTTTGGAGGAAGTATTTTAAAGTCAAGTAATGTTTTATTGTTATGTGATTCCTGGGAGAACTTTCTCCCTTTTTTACAAGCTCTTCTCATGCCCCCTCAGAAGAGCTAAGCAACCTCCACCATTAGTGTTCTGCTGCTAGATCTTGTTTTTTTCCCCAAAGAAGGCACAATGAATGCTGCTATATCTCAGAGACTGATAAATACAAACTGAGGGATTTTGAATCCAGAGCTTTTTAAGCACCTGAAGACTTAAGAGCCTGCATAGTAGGGTGGGCAAACTGACAAATGCACCTCTGATAATTAATTTCCTTTCAGGCATCAACTTCTCCCTCATCTCTTCAGGAGAGGCCTCCAATGAAACCCTTCATTCTCACTCGGAACAGGGCTCAAGCCAAGTAGGTAGTACTAGAAAGTGGTTTACTTTCCACCCCCTTGCTTTGATGGCTCAGTGGCAATGCATGAGTAACACAGAATGGGTGCTGTTGAAAAGTCATGGCTTCACCCATGGAGGCTGTTCTTTCATCAAAGGGATGTTATCTTTCCTGAAACTTTCTCCATGTCTGTCTTCCACAGACATTTCCTTTACAAACTCGAGATTAAAAATAGTCTCAAAAGGAGACAAATAAATAAAACAAAAAAAGAAAGACTCTAATGGAGAATTATATGCTTTAAAGGTTTTTTTTTTCATTATTGCCACTCTTTTTGCCTTCACCTGTAATTCTCAAAAGGATGTATTTGTCTATGATTTAATTCTGAGTTCTTGAGATGCTTTTTCTATAGGGTGGCAGGAGAATCTCCTTTTCTGTACATTTAAGAGCCACCAACTATAAATACCCATTTCACAGTGTCATCACTGCTCTGTGGGACACTGGCCTCTGGGATTGCTTATTGGGAGATGATCCTGGGCTATTTACCTTCTCATGAAAGCTCTATACTTTAATGCCCCTTTGTGGATTCCTCCCCCCCCCCCACGTATCCTCACATGAGTTTGTACAACTCCTCAGAAGATGGCTGGGTAGGGAAACATGACTGAAGCAGACAGGCCTTGTCATTAAAGAAAAGAGCCTTTTTAATGCTATTTTTATTTCGTTTTCTAAATGCAATGTGATTTTTGCAGAGTATTCGGAGCTGGTTATCCAAGTCTGGCATCTATGACAGTGAGTGACTGGTATGATCAACGTCAGAAATATGGAGCATTACCAGATCAGGGAATACCCAAGGCATCATCAGGTATGAAAAGGTGGGAGGGAAATGGTTGTACTGCTGGTCTTTTACTCCCTAGCCATTAAATTCTGACCAAGTATTGTTGCCCTTTAAGAGCAGAAGTAGTCTGAACAAAGATTCTGAGTGCAGTATTATGTTTATTAAGGTAAATAGCAAATGATTTGAGGAGGATGGGGCTAGTAGCAGCGTAGTTTTTTAATCTCTCCAATGTCATGATACAAAAACAGCAGCCACATGGCAAAATAAAAAATCTGTGGGCAGCAGTTCTCCTTCTGGTAATGTCAGAGTAGGTTGTATCAGGCCAACCCCTTATACAAATAACAATTACAAACCAAACCAAATATTATCAGAAAGCTACCTGAGGGCCCTAAAGAGTGACCAAAAGCAGGTATAAACTGAAGGGCAGTTAACACATAGAGGGAGGGAATGGTACTTGGAATTCCTTGAGGCAGCGACTTTAACTTACTGTATTCTTAGTGCCCAACTTGGTAATTCGATCATAGTAGGTACTTGGAGGTGTTTTTGGAAGGGAAAGATGGAGAGAGGGTGGTCATCAGAAAGGTGAAAGCAATATGATGTAGCAGAAAAAGCATGGCCAAGGCCGGGCGCGGTGGCTCATGCCTGTAATCTTAGCACTCTGGGAGGCTGAGGTGGGCAGGTAGCTCAAGGTCAGGAGTTCGAAACCAGCCTGAGCAAGAGCCCGTCTCACTCCTACCACTTAATAGATAGAGCATTATCTGTTAATCCCATCTGAGCCTCTGTTTTCTTATCTCATGTACTATCTTATTGGATTCTCTTAACAACCCCATGAAACAAACATGCTTATCCTCGTTTTAAGGTGAGGAAGTAGTTGCCAAGGACTGACTAACCAACCCATAGCTAGAAAGTGGCCAGCTAGTATTTAAATTCAGACATTCAAATTCTCAGTTTCAACGCTGTTACTACTATAGGAGGGAAAAGAGAAGAGTGATAATTTGAAAGCGTTTCCTGCTCTTTTATAGCTTCACACCTGTGGGCAGGCTGCATTTGCTGTGGTGTGGGGTAACTAAAACTTCTACAGAAACTTGCAGTCTTATTGATTGAGAAATGAGAGAACCGAGTTCAGGGTGAGTATAGCAACTGAAAAGTGAGGGAGAATGTCCCAGAAAGGAGAGAACCACAAAAGAGAAGCCCTCATTCTGTGTATAAACCCCACTGAAACCCCTGGCTGACTATGCATACACAGAATAGACTCGAAACACCTCAGCTAAGGCTAAAATAACTAAATGGAGAATTCAGCTATTGCCCAATGCAAGGGAGATAGAATTTGGTAGTTTGGTTTTAGACAAGTTAATTGCCTGCTAAAATGAAAAATCAGGAATGAAACAAAATTCAGAATCTCTACAGTATATTATTTATAATGTGTAGGATTTAACCCTAAGCTATTAGACATAAAAAAAAAAACCTAGGAAAATGTGACTTATAACTCAAGAGTAAAGGCAGTCAATGGATACCAACCCCAAGATAACTCAGATGTTGGAATTAGCAGACAAGGATTTTAAAGCAGCTGTTACTTCTGTGCTCAGGGTCAGAGAAGAAAAATATACTTGTAATGAATGAAAAGATAAGAAAGCTCTGCAGAGAAATAGAAACTATACACAAAAACATTCTGGAACTGAAAAAATACAGTATCTGAAATTTAAAAATCACTGGATGAGTTTAATAGCAGATTGTCAAAGACAGAAGAAAGTGTCAGTTAACTTGAAGATCAATAGAAATTATTCGATCTGAAAAGCAAAGATTGGGGAAAAAGTAAACAGTACCTTAATGACCCATTGGAACAATGTGAAAAGGTCTGACATACATGCAATTGGAATATCAGTAGGAGAGAAGAAAGGTAAAGGGACAGAAAAAATTTGAAGTGGTTGTTGAAGATTTCCCAAAATCTGTATAACACAAATTTACAGATTCAGAAATCTCAGCAAACCCTGATAGGTTAAATACAAAGAAAATCACACATAGGCACATCGTACTCAAACTAAAAACCAAAGAAGAAAATTTTGAAAGCAGCCAGAGATAAAGTCCATATTATAAGAACAAAGATATGAATTGTTGCTGGCTTTCCCATTAGAAACGGTGGGAGCTGAGACAATGGAACATCTTTAAAGTCCTGGCGGTGGGAGAACCCTGTCAACCTATAATTTTATGCCCAGGGAAAATATCTATAAAAATGAAGGTGAAATTAAGACATTTTCAAATAAAAGGTAAAAGAATTCTTCATTAGAAAACTGGCATTAGAGAAATGCTGAAGGAAATTCCTTAGGCTGAAGGGAATGATACCAGTTAGAAACTTAGATATTCAAGGAGTGAAGAGCAGCAGAAATGGTAACTATGTGGATAAATACAAAGGACTATCCTCACACACACACCTAATTTTTAAAACTATATATAGCTTCTTAAAGCAAATTGTAATACTGTCTTGTGGGATTTGTAATGTAATAGATGTGATACATGTGACAGCTATAGCAAAAAGGACAGAGTAAATGGAATTACTTTGTGAGATTCTTCTATTTTAGGTGAACCAGTACATATTAACTGTTGTTGTGTAACAAATTACTCTAAAACTTAGCAGCTTAAAATAATAAACATTTATTATATCACACAGCTTCTGAGGGTAAGAAATCCAGGAGCAACTTAACTAGGTGGTCCTGGCTCGGGATTTCTCATGAGGTTACAGTCAAGTTGTTAGCTGGGGCTGCAGTCTTCTGGAAGCTTGGTTGGGACTGGAAGATCTGCTGCCAGGCTCATTGGTGTGGCTGATGGCAGGAGGCCTCAGCACATGGGTCTGTCTGTCCATAGGCATGGCAGCTTCCTTTCCCCAGAGTGAATGATTTGAGAGAGAACGACCAAGAGCAAAAGCCTCGGTATGTTTTATAACCTAATGTTGGAAGTGACATACTATGACTTCTGCACATTCTGTTGGTCATATAGACCAACCCTGATATAGGTGTGGGAGGGGACTACATAAGAGTATGAATACCAGGAGGCTGGGATCATCGGACACCATCTTCAAGGCTACCTACCACATGGGAAATTAGAGACGAATATTGTATTTCCTAAAGCAACCACTTAAAAAAATAATGCATCCAGAGAATGAAAAGGCTAGCCATAGACTGGAAGAAAGTATTTGCAAAAGACATATCTGACAGTGGACTATTATCCAGAATATATGAAGAACTCTTAAAACTCAACAATAAGAAAAGGAACAGCCTGACTAAAAAGTGGGCCAAAGACCTTAACAGACCCCTCAACAAAGAAGATATACAGATGGCAAATAAGCATATGAAAAGATACTCCATATTATATGTCATCAGGATAATGCAAATTAAAACAACAATGAGATATACCTATGTCATTGCCTATCTCAACGGCCAAATTCAGAATACCTTAAATGTAAATGGAATAAACCTTCAAATTAGAAATCAGGGGTTGATTATCAGGCTGAGCTGCATGCTGTCTATAAGAGATGCATTTTAAATGTAAAACATAGATTGGTTGAAAATACATAGGTTGAGCACCCCAAATCTGAAAACCCAAAATGCTCCAAAATCCGAAACTTTTTGAGCTCTGATGTGATGCTCAAAGGAAATGCTCATTGGAGCATTTTGGATTTTAGATTTTTGGATTTGGGATGCTCAACCAGTAAGTATATAATGCAGATATTCCAAAATCTGAAAAAATCCAAAATCCAAAACACTGGCCTCAAGCATTTTGGGTAAGGATTACTCACCTCTGCTATGCTAACAGTAAGCATAAGAGAGTTGCAACAGCTATGGTAATATCAGATAAAAGGTATTTCATAATATCACATATAGTACTATCAGATAAAAAGTATTCAAGGCAAAAGGTATTCCTGGAGATTTTAGAAGGATATCTTTTTAATTGCCCCTTTCTTTTATCAGGAATAGAAGAAAGGGGCAATTTATCAGGAAGATATAGCAATCATAAATGTGTTTGTACCTAATGAGCATCAAAGTACATGAAGAAAAAATTTGACAGAATTAAATGTAGAAATAGACATATCTATAATTATAGTTAAAAGTTTTAATACCTCTCTTTCAGTAATTGATAGAATTGCTAAATAAATCTGTAAGGACACAGAATATCTGGTTAACACTATCAGCCAGCTTAACCTATTTGATGTTTATAGAATGACTATCCAACAACTGCAAAAATACAGGCATAACTCAGATATTGCAGATTTCCTTCCAGACCACCACAGTAAAGAGAATATCACAATAAAGTGGAGTCATACTTTTTAGTTTTCCAGTGCATATAGAAGTTATGTTTACACTGTACTGTCATCTGTTAAGTGTACAATAGCATTGTGTCTTAAAAAAAAAAACAATGTACATATTTTAAAACTAATTTATTGCTAAAATGCTAATGGTCATCTGCACTTTAGTGAGTTGTAATCTTTTTACTAGTGGTGGGGTTTTGCCTCGATGTTGATGGCTACTGACTGATCAGGGTGGTAGTTGCTGAAGGTTGGGGTGGCTGTGGCAGTTTCTTAAAATAAGGAACAATGAAGTTCGCCACATTGATTGATTCTTCCTTTCACAAAACTGCATCACATATGTTTGATAGCATTTTACCCACAGTAGAACTTCTTTCAAAATTGGAGTCAATCCTTTCAAACCCTGCTGCTGCTTTATCAACTACGTTTATCTAATATTCTCAATCCTTTGTTGTCATTTCAACAATGTTCACAGCATCTTCACCAGGAATAGATTCCATCACAAGAAACCACTTCCTTTGTTCATAACAAGCAGCTCATCATCCATTCAAGTTTATTGCAATATTGGAGCAATTCAGTCACACCTTCAGGCTCCACTTCTAGTTCTCTTGTGATTTTTACCACATCTGCAGTTAATTCCTCCCGCTGAAGTCTTGGACCCTTCAAAGTCATCGGAGGAAAGTTGGGAATCCACTTCTTCCAAGCTCCTGTTAATGTTGATATTTTTTTG